CCCCCAAAAAAAAAAAAAAAGTATCGGCCCCTGAACCCAAAACCCATATACTAGTCCCCATAGGACAGGACCCTCTTAAGGAACCCTTTACATAGTAGTATTGGTACTTATTCAACCCTAGACCCTATTCATCCCCTTGAGCCCGAATCTCCACCCTGAGCCCCTGCCATCAACCCGAGGCGCGATCTTGAGCTCTAAACCTTGAGAGACTAAGCTTAGTAACATGGAGGAGCACCTTGAGGTTTAGGGTTTAGGAGTTTAGGAGTAGGGGCCTGAGGATTTAGGGTTTAGGGCTTTTTTAGGGTTTAGGGCTTAGGGGTTTAGGGTTTAGGGTTTTTTTAGGGTTTAGGGTTTAGGGGTTTAGGGTTTAGGGTTTAGGGTTTAGGGCTTAGGGTTTCCTTGCAGAACCCTGATCATAAAAGGCACGGTGGCGAAGTTGAGAAGTGGCAGATCATGCGACGGCTTAGGATTTGGAGTCCAGGCTGTAAGGTTTGGGGCATTACCATTCCCATCTAAGCCCTGCACGCCCTCAACCTCTGACCCGAAACGGGTTCCTTCAAGGGTTCCTAGAACGATCTACATGGGTTCTAGATTACAGTGACCAACGAAAAAGCTGACAGCGAGGCTGGTCGCAATTCGGAAGCTCCGAACGATAGACTGGAAGGGGGAAGAGGCGCCCTCTCAGCCGCAGTGGCTAAGAACTCGGGTCGGGGAGTGCTTTGCGGTCTTTAGGGTTTATGGTTTAGGGGCGCCGTCTCTCGTTGCTGACTGCTCAAGTTTCTGTAGGGCGGCTTAGCAATCGTGGCCTGTGTATGCCGCGTCAGAACCAGAGCAGCAACTAAGTAAGACAGGGGTCCCTAATAATTCGAACAGGGATGATAGTTACAAGCAGGAACACGATGCAACTAGCGTGAATTGTTCAAACCCCGGTACTACCCAAGTCCTGGCAAGGGTTCCCGCCGTCTTCCGTCGGAGTCTTCTCCGCAGCAGCCGCAGCGTCTGTTGTGACAGCGGCTGTGGGAAGTTCCCAAGGCTTCGGCTACCTAATAGGGTTTACGGTTCTGGTTGGCGATCATCACGCCTCATACCGCAAATGCCAGCTCCATAGCAGACCGAAGGATGTCTTTCGCAAGCCCCTGAATGTGGAAGTGAAACAATTTAGGTCTGGGGCTTCGGGTTTGCTTCAGAGTCTAGCGTGGTATGGTGGCAAAAGACGCGAAAACACGTCGCAGACAATCACGAACACCTGCTGGGTAGAACTGGGTGTCTGGATGCTACGGAAACTCGCGTCCCAAACCCTAAACCCTAAACCCTAAACCCTATCTCAGGGTTCGACCCCAGGATTGCCTCGTCGCATCCACCGTGTCGGCATGGCATCACTCAAGGATGCTCACCAAGACCGTTTAGGGTTTAGGGTTTAGGGTTGTGTACTTTGGGACTTCGAGAATTTCGACTCCCAAGAGAGCGCTTAACGCCTTCGCACTTAATGTAAGGGCCTTAAGGGGTTCCTTATTTTCATGATAGTATAATGGACCCAAAACCCTATGCTAATTAATAAGGTACCTATAGTATCCCCTCGGTTCGGCGATTGACGCGAGATTGCAGCCACTGGTGGAAGCGAAGCTTAACCCGCTGGCAGCCCCAACTCCCATACTTCTTATCATCGAAATACTATAGGTACCTTATATAGTTAAAAGAGGGTTTGGGGGTCTATTAAGGACAATTTCCGGCTTGCTTCAAATCCAAGCTAAAGCTAAACCTGTTATCCCAATTAGCAGGCCAAAAACTCGACCAGGCTTGGCCGCGCGCGCCAGGGAAAGCAGACTATGTATCCTAAACATTGCGCCAACTTGAAAACCCTTCCCTCCTTCCCGAGGCCCCAAATCATGACCCCGGAAACCCTTAATATAGGGGCCTTAATAATTAGGTGCTGGGGTATATTATGCTATAGTAGTCATAATAAGGAACCCCCAAGATAGTATAGGTAATTATTGGGGCCCCCTATATTACATACGCCCCGGCCTTGAAGCCCTAAAGGAGTCTCTCGCAGTTTTACTTTTTCCACGCCCTTGGAAGGCGGTTCTGGTAACATGGCAGCAGCAGCGGTAGTAGTTGCAAACCCAAACCCCAAACCCAAACCCTTGCTAGGTAGAGGCCTCAAACCTAAACCCTAAACCCTAATTTAGGGTTTAGGGTTTAGGACCCTTCACTCCCGCTGCTGGCAATGTCCTGAAGAGTTCTGGGGAGACAGGCAGCCATGGGAAGGAAATTCTCCCGATACTTAAAGGATGATGGGACTTAGTAACTGGGTTTATTATCAGGGTAACTATAGGAACAGTTGCTTCTAACCCCAACTAAGATACTCATATCCATACTTATTAAGTCCCATGACCCTCCAAGTAGGCCTCTTGCAACGCATCTCTGGGCGAGGATACGACCTACAGCCAGTTTGACGGACTGCCTTGCAACATAGTGATAGTAGTAGCAGAGCAGTCGTAGCACTAGCAGCGGCAGCAGCAGCAGCAGCAGCAGCAGCAGCAGCAGCCGCCAACACCACCAGCCGTCAAGCGCAATCCATTCAAAAAAGTTCAGAAGGGCTTCTAGCCCAACACTATGAGAGCCGGCCAGAAAGGAACTTCTCACAGCTGAAAACGAAAACGAATCTCTTGCTTCGGCAATTCTGCAGTAAGAGGCTGCGGTTTCCATTTAGAGGTTTAGGGCTCTCAAGGTTTAGGGTTGAACCCTAAACCCTAAACCCTAAACCTTGAACCCTACACCCTAAACCCGAGGTTCGGGCTTGAAGAGGTGAGGCGTGCTATCTGGCAAAAACGGCGTTTAGCTGCTAAACTTTGGCACGTCCATCTGAGCTAGGCTTTCTTTTGACTAAAAACCCTGTATGGACACCACCCCCCCCAAATGCACACGTAGAGAGCCAGATATACACTCACGGATACCCTTGGCTAAAACTACGTAGGCCCTACTTCACCTGAGTCTGCTGGGATTCTGGCTACAATATGCCCCTACTCACGCCCAGTGTCAGGTTTGCCACACGCCCTAAAGTCCTTGCATCAAGGAATATTCGGTATATGCAGGATAAGAGGATTCCTTTATCGAGGATCTCTACGAGGTTGGCCCTGAAAAAAATGAAAATGCTCGAAAAAAAACTGATCCTCTTAGGGTTTAGGGTTTAGGGTTTAGGGTTTAAGATCCTCTTAGGCCTCAAAATTAACAACGGCCTGCCTGGTCCAGTTGTATCACATTGAGGGACAGCATCGCCACAGCAAGACGGTGACCACGCTCGAGACCGCGAGTACAGCGGTGGCTCGAGGGATAGCACTCTGAAAATGAGAGTCGAGAAGCTGCGCCAGAATGATCTGTGACGCGAAGAAGATCGCCCAGATTAGCGTTCCCACAGCTACCATTCCTCCGGATAGCAGCAACTTGTAGCATCTGCTCCCATGGAAAAGCTTACGCAGTCTGTAGCACAAGCGGAGACAAACGAGAGCTATACTTGGCACGACCAGTAGGCAAGCTGTGAAACCCCCCAGTGCGTAGGAGATCGTGTGAGACAACGTCATTCCTGGCGCCATCAGGTCCATGCTAAACCACAGCAAAGGGCAAAGTGCGTGCACAATCCGCCAGTATGAGAAGACGTTATTCGCGAGCTGATGAACCAAAGCTCTGCGCACATCGCCTCGCACAGCAGTTTCGAAGTTCTCGACAGACCCGAACCAGGCTGCAATGCAGCGAACGATGAGCATGCGGTCACAGATTATATCACAAAGGCCAGAGGAGCAACAGTGGCATGAAGAATCCTCAGTGGTGAAGCTGCCGACTTGGCTTTGCACCAAGTCGATGCTGTGACAATGTGCAAGGACCCCGTAGGCGAGCAGCAGGAAACATGGCAAGGCGAGGGCAACCTGGGCGATCAGGACGTAAGAAACCGCATCGAATGACATCGTCAGGGTCGCGGCCATCAACACACTGAAACTGAGTTGGCCGACCAGCAGCGTGGGGCCAACGAACACTGGGCAAACCGCCAAGTAGTTCTCCGCCTCTACACCCAGCCCCTTGCTGCGCATGAATGCGGCCATTTCGAACATGCACCACAACCTTCAGGCACGTGTCGAAAAGAATGGATGTGTTGGGCCGTGGTCATGCCGTATTTGTAGGGATAGTTACGTTTAGTTCGTGACACTAGGCCGCGTTCGGCAGATAAGCTAGAGAAAGAAAACAAAATCAACAGAAATGCCTTGAGACATACGTCTCATCCCATAGAACCAGAAGTGACTGGGAGTTCTTCAGGAAAGCGCCGAGGCTGAGCATGCCTTCTATCTTACTCGCATGGTTCTTCTGACTGATGCAAGCAATGTCAAGGAAAGCAAGTTTACTCCGCCGCCAGATGACCAGAGTCGTTTCAGCCAAGCTTTCGTGCGCCAGCTGTGCGACCAGAACTCGTCAAATCTCGTTACGACCTCACTCAACCCATAAAGCTGCTCTGAATCCACTTTACTTTTCGACCACTTGCGAGGTGCTTGCTGTAGGAATCGATGGACAGGGATTCCTCGTATCATGCTTGGGCGTGTGGCTTCCATGCCGATCATGAACTGGACATAACGCTCTATGGCATCATTGCCTGTCGATTCTGGCAGAGTGCTTGCTCCGTCTTCCTCCCAAGGGACGGCCGGAGACGGACTGCCCAGACACTCCTCGAGGCCATCTGCTGGCATGCCGACTGCCCAAACACTGAAAGTCGACGTGCAAATGCCTACATGCATGTGCATGCGCATGTACATACTTCCTTGTATGTATGTATGTATGTATGTATGTATGTATGTATGTATGTAAGTATGCATGCATGCATGTATGCATGTGTGAATGTATGCGTGTATGTACGTGTGTGTGTGTGTGTATATATATATATATATATGTGTAGCTTTGTCTGTGTGTATACGTATATACATATATATATATATATATATATATACAGATGTCCATGTTACACATGTATATGCACATGCTTGCCCCCCGCCAGCACATGTGATACCCACACTTGCAGTAGACTAGATTGAGCACGACTTTCATAAACGGTGCACATTTCAGAAAACTACCCATATAAACGCCTTAGAAATGGAAGTCTGTCGCCTGTGGCTTTCTGGATCCCAACCCTAAACCCTAAACCCTTAACTCTAAATCCCACCCGTTGATCCGAAACGCTGAGATCGAAGTTGTGAAGTCTTTTGCTTGAGCCCTGCCTTAGGATTTAGGGTTTAAGGGTTAGGATTTCGGGTTTAGGGCTTTGGGGCTAGGGTTTAGGGTCTAGGGTGTAGGGGTTAGGATTTCGGGCTTAGGGTTTAGGGGTCAGGATTTCGGGTTTAGGGCTTTGGGGCTAGGGTTTAGGGTCTAGGGTGTAGGGCTTAGGATTTAGGGTTTAGGGTGTAGGCGTTAGGATTTAGGGTTTAGGGTTTTGGGGCTAGGATTTAGGGTTTAGGGTTATTTAGGGTCTTAGGCTTTAGGGTCTAGGGCTTTAGGGTCTAGGGTGTGGGGGTTAGGATTTGGGGTTTAGGGCTTTCCGGGGAACCCTTTCCCTGGAAACTCAGCTCCGAAGTCGACCCGTATCTGAAGCACAGAGACCGACAGGGTTTAGGGTTTAGGGTTTAGGGTTTAGGGTTCAGGGTTTAGGGGGATGATAAAGAATAGTAGTGATAACAGTAATCATGTTAAACATGAGTGGCAGTAACAATACTACTAGTAATAACAACCATAGTAACAATTTGGATAGAAGTTCTATAACGATGACAATCGTAGCAAAAAAGCTAATCATAATTATCATACTAATAATAGCAATAAAAATGCTGCGGACCCTATGCTTGCTATGCAACCCGGAATGCAAGTCCACACCCGAATCCTAGGGTTTCGGGTTTAGCGTGCAATTTAAGGTGTAGGGTTCTAGGGTTAGTACTGACAAATTTGGGGGCCGTGATAATAAGAAAAGGGTTTTGGGGCCCGTTATACTCTAATTACCAGAAGGAACCCCAAAAATAGCATTGGTAACTATTTAGGCCGCTATGTTACTTCAACTGGAAGGACTTCGCAAGCGGGACTCGATGTAGGGTAAGACCTTTATGGCCCCACTCCTACCCTACTTTACCCCCGTACACCATGGAACTGGAGTCCCCGACTCTAGGGGTTTAGGGTTTAGGGTTTAGGGTTTAGGGTTTAGGGTTTAGGGTTTAGGGTTTAGGGTTTAGGGTTTAGGGTTTAGGGTTTAGGGTTTAGGGTTTAGGCTTGAGGGACCCTAAACC